TAGCTTCTTGTTACTACTAGTAAGGCACTTGTTCCTAGTAGCGATGCACTTGTTACTAGTAGTTTGTTTCTTTGTCTCGTGCTCTTAGTGCAAATCTCAATTCAGGATGTAAGACGAGAACAAAAAATGGAAGGCAAGGCGTCCTTTTACAGGGGCCACTCACGGTCTTGAACATTGCTACATATTGCTACCCTCCGTGCTTTTGACCACAGTTCACGATTGCTGCTACTCCCTCTGGTTCTTCTATGAGAAAGAGGGCCACTCACACTTGCACTGGCTTTTGGATTACTTTTTGAGCTTGCTTGCATCGGGGCCTGGTGCCGAGGGGGGAAGAGCACCTCAGCCAGAGGCAGATCTTTCTGAGTTGAGCACTTGCCACCATCCGCTTCCCCGAAAGCTTAGCAGATTCCGGCTGACCGTGTTTGACATGATGGTGCTTGGTGCGATTTTTCCATGCTATTTCCCGTGAGTGCACCATCTAAGCGTCCCACATTTGATGACCAAGTTTGGTTGCTGAGCAACGCTCCTTCGTTTCTCCTAGTCCTTAAAACCTTTCCTTCTACCAGGTCGTAGGTCTATGCAGAATCATTTTTTGGGCCATCCTGCACGCATGTTTTGTGAACTGTCAACCTGGTAAGCCTGGCCAATAATTTGATGCTGGCCGGGCCATGAAAAAACAAGGGCATGGCCAGTGGTCGTGTTTTTCGGACTTGGACGATTTTTTTCAGTGGGAACTCGTCGGAACTCGCTGCGCCGAACCAGGCGGTCCACCCAGGCCTTGGAGTTCCTGCCGGTTCAGGCGAGAGGGTGAGATCTGGTTGGAGATTTGGGTGAGATCTGCTTGAAGTGGTGTTTTTTGTTCTTTCCAAATTTGTTTCTAATAGCGGTGGCCTCCAACCTAGTAGCGTCCTTGCTACTCAAAGTAGTATATAAAATGCCCTATAGCTATACTAGTAGCGTTCTTGCAAGTAGCGATGCCCTTGTTACCCAGCGATGGCCTCCAATAGTTTGTTCCAACTTCCTTTTGCTTCGACGCATCCGCCGACCTTCCTCGCTCGCTTGCTCGCTCGACTCCGACTGCCGAGGCGACTCTGAGGTGTGAAGCTGACGCTGAAGCGAAGTATGACTGGTGGAGTCGAGTTGTGCCAGAAGTCGGGCTAGAGACAGGGCATCTTGCAGATGAACTGGAGTTGGGAAATGGACATGGGGCTGGAGGGGTGGCAGGCAGTTGTGTGATGAACATTGGTACTGCTACCGGTCCATCGTGCATTTGTCTACCCCCCTCTCTCTCTATCTCACGCCTAAGGCTACGAGCAACCAGCAATTTGATCTCAGCTCGCTTGGTTCATCAGGACCCCAAGGTCCGCAGAGACCCCTCAACGAGCCGACAGTGCCTTGGAGAGATGTTCGAACATAGCCGGAGAAGTTCACTTGTCTCGGGGAAAAGCATCTCCTAGGAGGGCCCTGAGGGGGCCCTTGGAACTCCTAGAAGAATCTTCATTATTGAAGATCCCAGAAGATTCAGGACAATCTTGGAGACTAAAGAGATCTAAAAAGTTCCCTTTTTTGGAACCCTTTGGCCATTTGGGCTTGGGTTCTTCCGACAGCTGGAAGGCTCTATGAGGAGATGGCTGGCTGTGACCGTGCTTGGCAGAGGACACCAGGGTCATTGGAACCAAGTCCATCTTGCCTCCGCAAATAGGAGGCGCTTGTTTGATCGATTCCCGAAAGGCACCTCCAAATGTGCAGTCCAACCTAATAGCGATGGCCTTTGATTTGTGTTGACATTTGTTCCTTTGGCGGTTCCTGTTGCGAAGGACGGACTATGTGGCAATCTGGCTTGGCATTGGCCCACGCTGGTTGGTGTTTCTTTGCGAGGCCACGGATGATGCGATGCAGCACTCCTTGCTGTCAGGCGCAGTCGCGACGCTGGTCACGCGCGACATCGAAATCGAAGCATTGGAATGGGCTCATGAAGGGTGTTGGAGGGTGGCTGGGGGGCCTGTCTTGCGCCTTGGAGCAAGCTTTTGTTGGGAGGCGATGCCTTGCAAAAGCGGATCAAGTTGATCATGCGCCCAGTCAAGGCCCTAACTCATATACACATTGGACCCGAGATCGAGCCAGATGCAATGCACTCTTCGAGTGTTTATCGAGTGGAACAGATGTTTTCACATGTTTTCACTTAGTGGCGGCCTAGTTAGTGAAACAAATGTCATCAGCAAAGGTAGAGGTTTGGATCAGAATGCGCTTGTCGGTCGCTTGGATGTTGCTGGTCGATCAATCGGGGTCGGACGTCCCAAAGTGCAATCGGTTCTGGCAGATGCGACTGCCCTTCCCCAGCAGCCCGCCGAATGATGCAGAGTATATCGGCCCATACTTCGGTGCTGGAGCCCAAATCGTTCCTGAGCTGAAACACGGTGCCGTCGAGCTTGGCTTTTTCTGAAAAACTGGGCGGCCTGGAGCTACCAGTGATTTGATCAAACGTGGCACTCATCTAGAATCAAAAGGTCGTAGGTAGCGCTGGAGGGCAGAGGAGCTGTGGGCTTTGCAGGCTTTACGTGGTTGTTGCAGATGGTCAAGCTTGCTGTTTGGCCACAGGAGCCTTGGAGGAGGCTTCCTTTGCAACTCCTCCGGTGTAGCCGAGGACGAGGTCATTACTGGCCCCTCCGATGCGCAGATCCATGGTGTTCGATGCTTGGAACAAAAGACTGGAGCAGTCTTTTTTTCCCCAAACAGTTTACTGGTGGGGTGTCTATGCTGGTATAATCTTCTTTGGCCCCCTCTTGGCCGAAATCCAAGAGCCACATGGCTCCTGTTGAAGCCGCACTTCACCTCGCCGCCAGAAAGGAGGTGAGACGGAATGCCGGCTGGCGAGACGGCCGAGGCCACGGAACGTTTCCGTGATCGACGGCCGACGAAGAGCGTGCCCGGCTCAGGTGTTGACCTCTACAGCAACTGGCTTGTAAAGCTGGGCCTTAAACACATTGGACTGCTCTTTGGCAACTGTCACCTGGCAAAATCCTTTTCTTGTGGTGTCTGCCAGAAAATTCGGAAGGGGGCCCAAGGGGGTCTAGGAATCGAGAGGTGCTCCTTTAAGGCACATTCTTCTTCCAGATCCTTTTGGCTTCTCAATTGAAGTCGTGGCTGACGTTGGGACCCCCCCTTGGATTCAACCTGAAGCACTCGATGCAGCATGATGCAGCTTGAGGTTTGGATCTTTTGGTTATTGACTGGCCGGCGAAATTGGAATTGGCTTCAATCAGGCCATCTTTTCGATCTGAAAGGTGGGATGGAGGAGGGGTCTCGAGGCTGGGAGGGGCCGAGAGGGGTGTAGCCAGACGCTGCCGGGAGAGAGAGAGAGAGTGTCAGACTGCGAAGGCTGACCGTCACGCAGACTTTCAAGAACCAGCACGATGGCATGCTGTAGCTCACCTCTTCGCATGTGGAGCGAGGCCGAGTCGACTCGGTCGTTGTTTTCAGTATCCGGCATTGCCCAAGAAGAAAACATCAGACCATTGATTTGAGTGGCGTTCCTGAAACAGATTGCATGTTTGTCTATCGAAATTCAATGACTCAATGCCTTGAGGGGAGTGTTCTTGTACAAACTGTTTTGTTTTGGTTCGGGCTAACCTGGGGCTGGTATGATTTTGCTTGGTCCCCCGGCTTCTCTCAGCCGATCGGCCGACGCCGATCTCAGCCGATCCCAGGCTTGATGTTGGAAGTCTCCTGACGTGGCCTGGGCGTCTCTTCTGAGCTTTGCCAGCCTTGCCTAGTATCATGCCGGGGCCAAGTGCGAAGAGGTGTGCGCGTTTGATCCCTACGACGAGACCTCGCGATCATGAACAAGAGAGGTAGACGGTCGACGACGAAATGATCGCACCTTCCGCACTCACTCTCCGGTCATGTTTGTATAAAAGGGTTGCGTGTGTGTACTGCTTGCTATGGCATCGCGCATGTTCCTCGTCCTTCCGGCTCTGCCATGCTCGTTATTCCGTTGGAGTTTCAGCGACAGATGGACGGTCGAGGCTTAACTTTTGACACGGGATGGAGACTGATGGAATTCGCAGCGCTCCTCAAGCTGGCCAGGGTACAGCCCCTGTGGCTTGTGGAGCGTATTCGCAGCTGGCATTCTGTGTGAATTTCCTCCCTCTGGGGTCGTGCAATTTTTGCCAACTTTGTAAAGCTCGATGGGATGGTTGCCTCAGAAAAGCCTGCCACCATCTGCCACCCAATCTTGCATCACAAGCGGTTTGTCTAGTCTCCGGTCAGTTTTTTGAACTGAACTCATGTGGCCATGGCTCATTCTAGGGCTCATCCGCCCCTGACGGGAGCTGCTTTTACCGCACTGCGGTGCCTTCCTTCGGCTTCCCATGTTTTTCGGTCGACCAACACGGCGGCCGGTCCGGTCTCACGCCGTCCGGGGCTCGGCGAACACGGCTGAACACCTGGGAGTTGCCCGATGGCACCTCCACGGGTGGCATCGGAGTGCCACGGGGAGGGCGTCGGTCGACGCTGTCGGGCCGAAGGAGTCGACCATAAATCAATGATGGTAGGAGCCAGTCATCAGCAGTCCGTGGTCGCTTCGGCAAAGCTTGGACCTGGGAATCCGTGGCAACACGTGTTGCCATGTATCGGCCTCTACCGTGCTCGGGTGGTGTTTCTTTTTGGCCTTAATTGAGTGAGGTTTGGGCCTAGATCGCCGATCCAGGCCGATCCGGCCCGGCAAAGATGCCACGCAGACCGTGGACGTGGACGAAGAAGAGAGAAGCAGAAGCAGAAGCGGTTGGTGCGCGGTTTAGTTATGACTGTCACTAGTCGTTCCATGTCGTTCCTTGAAATTCAGTAGAAACTGATGGGTTTGAGATCATGTGCGATGTTTACTTGACTGAGCGGCCGCCAAAAAGACAAGGCCAGTTTAGTTGGGGAAAGGAGGCCCCTTGGTTACCAATCTGTTAGCATCCCAGCATCAACCAACATCAACTAACTAGTGACATCTAGTGGCTATGACGGTAAGTAGCCTAGGCCGCCAGTTCGATCCTGGCTGGGTGTATTGAAAGATCTGCCTTTGTTACTAGTAGCTTATTGTTTCTACTAGATTCTTGTTCCTAGTAGTAAGGCACTTGTTACTAGAAGCGATGCACTTGTTACTAGTAGCTTATCGGCCATTTGTGGCAGCTTCTCGGGTCAACCCACCCCTCCGTCCGCTCCGTCCGCGCTGATCGAAGCTGCGTTCGCCTCGGCCAAGCTGTCGAGCTGCGCGTGACAAAAGAGGTGGATGGAACTGCCGACACGACCAGTGCGTTGTTACCTTGGGGTGGGGATGAGTGGAGTGTTTGAGGTGTTGGCATGTTTCGTGTGCATTCTCAGAGACTGGAAGGCTGGAGGTTATGCCAGGTCTAGACTCTTTAGATCGTTGTAGTGCTTGCCACCTACCCTGGAGACCTTGCAGTCGAAGAGTTGGATCAGCGACCACTTCAAGCTCCAAGATGACCCCCCCCACGTGCTACGTGCAGGTAGACGGTCCAAGCATGTCAACATGCAATTGCTCGGAACATCTCGGAACATCTCGGAACACCAACACCACCGTGTGAAGGAACTGTGCGGCTCGACATGGCACTGAGGTCCGATCGTTGGGGATCTGGATCACGCTGGTGGTCGGGTGCCTGGTTGAGTGCTGCCTGGTTGTAGCGACAGAGACCGTGGGATTGGGAGGAGGGGGACTGAACCAAGAGCAGCCTCCACCCTGGTAGCGGCCTCCAACCGACCAGCGATGGCCAACCTACCAAACTGCCCTCGTGGGCACTCAACTTGGCTTCTCTCAGGTCCAACCACGATTGGCCAGACACCCGGTCAGGTGAAACTCTTGCAGAGAGTAGGCGTCGCCGGACATGGTGGAAATGAAACTGTGAAGTTGGGCCGTTGTCCCATGGTTTTTGGCGAGCGAAGCCCTTTGGCTCGAACCACTTTACCCACAAGTCCATTATTGAATTGCAGATGCTCGCACCTCGTCTCAAACAGGCTTTGTAGCAGTCATGTACGGTCTAAGGCGTTTAAGCATGTGTCTTTCTTTTTCCGGATTTGTTCGGTACCGGTTACTGTAGCTAAAATGAGTGTGGTCGACCATGGACAAACCCATTCTATTTGACTCATTTAGTTTAAGGGTGATCCAAAATGGGTCTTACACAAAATGGATGATACGGATGAACTCTTTGCACAGTCAAATTGGCCAGTCACAACAGAAAGTGGTCGTTTTTTCACTTTCTATATACATGTAATGAGACGTATACTGTAGGTCTTTAAGGTCTATTAAACAGTCATTTTAGATTGCCAATTTTAAACCCCATCCGTTTTTATTCTGATTTTACCTCGGTCGTCGGTGGCATGGTGCAGCCGAGGCGGCCAATGTGGCGACATTTGTTGTGCCTTGAAGTTGAGCAGCCGAAAGGTCAGACTCGGCCCATGAAGAATGACACGCATGAACCACTGACTAGATCACACAAGACCGGAGGCGAGCTTGAGAGGCCACCCAACAGATAGATAGATAGAACATGATAGAACGTGATATTTTTGTGCAGACGGACGATGTGTTAGAAATGGTTTCTGTCGAAGTGGGGGCCTTCAAGTCTAGTTTCAGCTAGATGGGCAGTTGGGATAAGTTTGGATCAGGTTGGTTGCTTGTGGGTGTTGTTCTTTGGAACACTGAGGTTTGTCACCTGCTGGGCAGTCGCTGATGCCAAAGAGGCCTGTTTCGATTCTCCCACGTCATGCACGTCACATCACGTCACTACCCCGACCGGGCGGGGGCGGCAAGCCGCGGGGGGGAAGCGCGTTCGGCGTGCCGCGCTTTGCGCTGGGTTTGCCTGGTCGGGCCAGGCCCAAGGGCAACAAGCTTTGCTTCAGCTTCCAGGATGGAATCTGGGAAACCTGGAGCAGACGCAGGCAAGTGGGCAAGTGGACAGCTGTTGCAAGTGGGCAGCTGTTTGGCCAAAAGGCACCATACTGGTAGAATATTTGGTTTTCACATGCTTTCACATCGCCTGGGTGGTGTTTGAGGCTTTCTGGCAGGTGAGAAGACATGTAGACCCGAGGTTTTCGCCCACATGTCCGGAAGCATCATGCCAGTGGCGAGTGGGTGAAAGAGTACGTGAGAAGAGTCGTGGGCTTTTATCTGGTTTTTGAAGAGTTGTCAAAGAGTTGTGAGAGTCAACGAGGGGTTTCATATGTTTTCATCGTTTTAAGAAAGAGTTTCACCAAAGATGACTCACCTGGTTTTGGACGTCTCTTTCTTTCGTTTTCTTTTCGGTGGATGGCGAATCCAGGTCTTGGACGATCCAGCCGATGAGGCCTCCGGCCGAAGTTCTAAGGCCTGCTAGTTGGGTCATCGGGGTGATGCATCGTCGGGGTAGAGCTATTGTTTGGGATTCGTGTTGCCACTTTTACTGCAGGTTACATGCAGTCCGGTTATATCATTTTTCTTTCCATGCATGTGTTGAAGCAGTGGCAAGTTTGAAGCGAGCCGGCTGTTGTGAGGGGCTCCAACACTTGGATCGAAGACAAGTTCGATTGGTTGCTCGTCTAAGTGGACAATACGGAATAAGGCTTGGCATGAAGGGGGGGATTTTGTTTTACACGATGTTACTGTTGGTCGCTGGAAGGTCAGCTGTTGGAGTTGACGTGTGGAGGCAGACAGGATGAAATGCATGGGCAGGTGCGGCTTGAACCTCAAGCGTTGCAGTGAGGTTCCGTTGCTGTGAGGTTCCCTCCCTCTAAATGTTACTTCTGCATTTAGCCATGTAGCCATACGGGACCGTCCCCCAGACCCCCCGAAAAGTCAGCGCAAGCCAGCGGCCGGGCGGCTTCCTCGCGGCCGCGGCGATCGCCGCTCGCGCACGGTTTGGATCGTCGCAGCGAAGCGTTGCGAAATGAGGTCATGCTCTTGATCTTTGCGGGTTTAGTGGCAGCCTGCGTGCGGTTCGCCCAGTTTCATGGGGACATGCAGGAATACCAGGCAACGAGACAGCAGATGCACCCAGTCAGGTGTACAAACAGGTGAAGAGGGTGTCCATCGAGTGGGGTGCGAGTTAGGAGAAACTCCGAACGCAAAAAAGGACCACTGCGAAGGAAGAAAAAGGAAGGTAAGAACACCTTTGATACTTGTAGGACCGCTGATTCCTTTAAGGTAAGGGAGACCGATGAAACGGGCCCTGACCATCCTTTCTTGTTTCGCTCTTTTTTCTTCAGCTTCGTTGGACCGAGGGAGGCTTCGTCTACCTGAGCATCAGAGGTAGCGAGTGCTTCGCTGACATTGACCTGAGCAACCAGATGAGCCTCTCGCCACCCCCGTTGACTGCGACTCAAACCTGGACATTACTTGATTTGGATTGATTGGGGTTGACACCTGCACAAGTTAGGACTACTTGTTGCCGGACTCTTCCACAAGAAGATGCAGAATACACATGTTCCACCCCTTCTTTCCAGAGCACGGGGGGGGAGATGTTGGCTGTTAGCCCCGTTTTCACAGCCCACGTCGTCAGAAAGAAACACAATCAGCGGCTGCAAAGGAGCCATGGCAAGAAGCCCACCCTAATAGCCAACAAACGCAATGGCCCCCAACCTAGTAGCGTCCTTTGCTCCTAGTAGTAAGGCCAGGAGCCCCTAGTAGCGTCCTTGCTCCTAGTAGTAAGGCCAGGAGCCCCCTAGTAGCGTCCTTTGTTCCTAGTAGTAAGGCCAGGAGCCGCTAGTAGCGTCCTTGCTCCTAGTAGTGAGGCCAGGAGACCCTAGTAGTGTCCTTGCTCCTAGTAGTAAGGCCAGGAGCCCCTAGTAGCGTCCTTGCTCCTAGTAGTGAGGCCAGGAGCCCCTAGTAGCGTCCTTGCTCCTAGTAGTAAGGCCAGGAGCCCCTAGTAGCGTCCTTGCTCCTAGTAGTAAGGCCAGGCGCCCCTAGTAGCGTCCTTTGCTCCTAGTAGTGAGTCCTTGCTCCTAGTAGTAAGGCCAGGAGCCCCTAGTAGCGTCCTTTGCTCCTAGTAGTAAGGCCAGGAGCCCCTAGTAGCGTCTAAGGCCAGGAGCCCCTAGTGCAAGTGCAAGGCAGCGACCACCTTTCAACACAACGGATAGGGGGGCCCTTGGGCCAGAGAGTACCAACGGTATCGATGTGTACCGATGGATGTCGTGAAACTTGCGCCCGGCTCTGATGAACCTGGGTGATCAGAAAAGAAGTGAGGTCTTACGAGACGCATCGCTTTCGGGATTCAGTCGAGAACGGGCTTCCCCATCTGAGCTCGTTTCCTACCCGAAAACATTTCCTGATCTTCCACAATTCGCCATCTCTGACCCAACTGAACAAATCTCCCCATTTGCATGTCTTCACCCCTCTTCGTCAAAGTATTTGCTAACATCGCCTGAGAGCTAACCCATCGGACTCTCAAGTGCGTGCGGTTTTGCGATTCCTTGATCGCCAAAAGTTCAAGGACCACCCTACGTTGAGCACCTTCTGCTGTCTGTGATGAGCACGCCACCGACCTTGGACGCATGTGCATCAATGTCATGAACATTCGCCTCACAACCTATGACCTCACCCCATTGAAATCTAAGCATGTGAAGAATGTCATCCCCATCAACGGCCGCTCTGGCCTCTGCCGATCCCAGGTGACCGGCAAACACGATCGATTTTTCCGCTTTGCCAAAACCAGGAGGACACTTTGTCAAATGTTCAAGTTTTTCACCTGACATGGCCACAAAAATTCCTTTCGTGCTGCCCCCGTCATGTCTGTTCTGTGAGCTAGCGTCCGTCCAGCAGTACAGTTGTGGTTTATCTTGGTCCGAAAAAGGAAGGATCTTCAGAGGTTCGTGGGAAGCTCCTTTGATCTTGTCCAAAAGCTGGTTCACGTCCAACAGGGTTTCTACAGTACTCTTGTTCACTTCAGACAGGAACAAGCCAGTATAGGTAGCAAAACGGTACCCGATTTGATTGGTGTGCCAACTTAACGCGCCCAAAAGACCTCTCAATTTCAGTTTTCTCTTGAGGCGCGTTTCCTCCTTTGGAGTACGACGGCGATCCTTGGACACATTGATGGGCTGTACTTCTTCTAGGTATTTTGCCTGGTCTAAATGGAAACTTCCGTCTTCTTGTGCTTGAACTCGGACCCCACACTGGATGAAGTCTCCAGTTTCCCATTCGCCCCAGGCGAACCGTTTCTGGATCTGAGCCTTTGCTTCGAGCCACTGTTGGTTGTTGGACAGGCCACAGAACATGAAGTCGTCCACATGTCCTGACACCAGAGCGATGGTCTGTCGCTGTGTGTCTCGCAACCGCCAGCAACAGGGATCTGATGCTCGAATCCCTGGGTTCGTAAGTTTCAAACCACTCGATCGGAGCTTTGACTAGCCCATAACAAGCCTTTCGCATTTTGACTATGCTTTCTGCCGGTAGATGCATGGCTTGACAGATCTCTGGTGTTGGTATGAGGTACAGTTCTCGATCACATTCCCTCCCCTCAAAAAAACCAGCCGACACGTCTCCTTTGTGAACTAGAGCTTTGCGGTTTGCTGCCCATTGTAGAAGTACTTGTCGACTTTGTCGTGTCATGGTGGGAGCAAACGTAGACCTAGGACCACTGCTCTCGCCTTCGGTTTGAGAGGACCATCATCTTTCTTCTTCCAGGTCAGCGCCCATCGCATTCGCAGTGCCTGCGAGCGATTTGGGCGCAAGTGTGCTGGAAGAGCTTGTAGTGCTTCAGCTGCAATTGTTTTGCGCCACTGAATTGTTCATGTTCCTCCGCCGGCATTCGGCGTTCTGAGACTTCAATGCTTCGCCTTTTGAGAGCACTGATGAAGAAAGCTTGACTGTTCTTGAAGAATTTCTTCCAACCACGTTGTTGTGTGGGTAGTTCAACTTCAATTTCCACAGCCGCAGTCAGAGAGGTGTTCCAAAAACTGCATGTATCTTCTTGCCAAAAACTACTTTGGACTTCATCAATCCAATGTGTGCCTGATGGCATCGACTCTCGATGTCGACTGCGACTTCTACCTCTTGGTGATCTGCTCGAAGGCGATGTCCTGGTGTTCACCGCTTCATCGTCAGATGGTGGGAGAGTTGGTGTGTAGCCACTGTCTCTGTCTCCCAGTGATGGATTGAGTCTTGGTCGGGCCTCCCGGCCTTCCGGTTCAAGCCCCCAGCATCCAGCGCCCCAAAGCCAGCCGTCACTGCCTCGTCAGCGCTGGGAGCGCGATCACCGGTCGGACCATCATCGCTCCACAGCTGCCCATAGATGAACTCTGAGTGCTCTTCCACTTTGAAGGACTTGGTGTCATTTCCTGAAGCTTCAGCCTTCTGTGGACAGAACTTGGTGTCATGTCCCTTTCCACACCGGGCGCATGGACCATAGCTCTTCTTCCCTTGGCTGCCAAAGTGCTTCCGCTTGCTATCAAAGAATTTGCGCCCCACGCGGGCCTCGAGCGCTTCCTCCGAGAGATCTTCCAAACAATTTCATCTTCAGATCAAGTTCCCCCTCATCTTCGAACATGGCATGGCGAGGCTCGCCATCTTTCTTCCGAATGGCGTCATCGGTGAAGTGCCTTCCCAGGGCGTTCTCAACGGATTGCAGAGAGAACTTGTTGCGAACTTCACTCTGGATCAGGCTGCGCTCCATGTGATCGATGTTTGCCTTCTCAGTAGCCAGCCTTTGATGACGTCGGGGAGGGTCTCGATGAAGTCTTCTTCATCATCACTGTCATTCTTCTCAGTCACTTCTGACTGAGCTGTCGGCCGATCAAGCCATTGTTCATCTGCCGACCAATCCCAACCAGCATAGGGATACCACCACCACCATGCGTCGGTGTAGTCTGGCCACTCTTTGTCCGGTGCGGGTGCTTCGTCAAGCGGTGGTGTTTTGCTCACCCACCCGAGGCACGTTCACTGGACCCCCCCTGTCTGTGAGGAACGTGCTTCAGGACGATCTGTATTGGGCTCAATTGTGGACTGTGAAGATCTGCGACCTGAGCGCCAGGCATGTTTTGGATGTAGCCCGAGCTGATTCTGTTCTCGCATGACTCTTGTCAATGCTTTGCAGGTACGGGCATAGTCTTCACGGTGCCGGACACAAAATGCAGACTTCGTTTCATCACGAAGACAGTGGATGAGCTTCTCCACGCCATCGCTCCGTGAGAGCCAGCCACGCTTCTTGTTTCCGATAGCCGCCTTCGCGGCTCCAGAGAGTTCTGCAGCCAAGCGGGGCCACACAAATATTTGTATTCTCCCACTTGACCGTGTCCTCATACAAAAAAAAGCAGCACGTTTGTATTCTGACCATGATGGGTTTCCGTCCCCTCCCGGAATACCATCTTTCTCCTTGGAAACTGTCATCCCCACAGCAGCGACGCGAATGCCCTGGATCTTCTAGGCCTCGAGCGCACTCGACTCACGGAAGCCCCACCCCCTCGGCGACGCGGGGGTGAGGCTCCGCTACCATGCAAGTGTAAGCGATGGATGTTGTGAAACTTGCACCCAGCAGCGTCCTTTGCTCCTAGTAGTAAGGTGGCTCTGGTAAATGGTTGGTGACAGTGGTGGTCATCGTAGTGTCAGTGGCAATGAGGGTTTTCTGCAGTGGCAACACGTTGACGCAAGTGGCATCGATGCTGTGAGGTTTGCATATCTGTGCACCATGTCTTGAGACCCCGTATAGTCAGATTGCTTTCTTCCCTCCAACAGGTTGGTAGTGCAGGCCACGTGCCCAAGGATGAAAAGGAAGCAAGAGCTAGGGGCGCCTGGCCTTAATACTGGGGGCAAGAGCTTGGTAAGGAGGGGGCTTGGGCTTGAAGACTGGATATGAGACCAAGCCACATCCAGGTTAGATGCTTGCAGTTCACTTGAGCAGTGCTGGGATGAGTTGTATGCACCTAAGCCTTTTTTGAGGAGCGTTTCTGCAGTTGGCCACGTGGTGTGCATCATGGCCAGCCTTAGAGCCAATGCATCGTGGCTCGTGTGGCCTAATGGATAAGGCGCCTCCCTTCTAAGGAGGAGATT